GTCTTTCAATGTTGCTCGAGTCTAGCGCTGCTACTTGGTGGCAAGGAATCAAACCGTCGACGAAAGACTGGCAGAATGCAGTAAATATCCTCAGAGAAATGTACTCGAAAAAATTACCCCCTCATGCAGTCTTCCGAGAACTCTTTGCTCGTGAGCACACACAACACGAAGCCACTGATATCTTCGTTGCGAAATTTCGAGTTTTAATCGCCCAATTACCATATAGTGTCGCAGAAGAAATGCAGCTGGATATGGTTTATGGACTTTTATTTGACTATTGTTTCGTGAATTCGCGTTTCGCAAACAAGAAAGAAACACAAACCAAGACGGAATGCAAATAAAGAAGTTACGACCTCGTTGTGAACATTGCAAAAAATTTGGTCACTTAAAGAATGAGTGTCGCCAACTGAAAAAAGAAAACGATGATAAAGAACTGTCAAAGTCAACATCAGCAAGATCAAAACCTGAGTGTTATGGCAGTGGTACTCCTGGCTACTACAGATGGAACTGCCCGAAATGCAAAGAAAAAGCAGACGTCAAAACTAACTGCTTTGAATTCTCACGGCTATCTTTAGAAAATGAGTCAAGCTGCGACGCTCCAATCCTACCTTTAGAAGTGAAAGGTGCAAAAAGAATTGGACTTGCCGATTCAGGATCAAAATGGAACATAGCTGGTCACACCCTCTATAAGGTGTTACAAGATAAAGGAGTTAAGTTTGAAACAATCGATGCAGTGGTAACATTAGCTGACGGAATTCCTGGAGATAAGAAACTACTGATAACAAATGTAGGCGTTAAGATAAAAGACAAAATAACTCCAACTAGTTTTGTTCTAATGCCGTATTTAACCCAGAACCATACGCTCTTAGGGCGGGAATTCTTGAAGAAGGCTAACATTGGTATAGATTTCCAAAACGAGTGTTGGTTTTTTAGAGATAAACCAGAACATACTTTCAAATATGGAATTAAAACAAACTCCGTAAACATTAATCCCATAACCCTACGCCAAAATGAAGCTCAGAAGAGTAAAGACACAGCAAAAGATGAAATAAACACCCTACTTCAGAAGAATAGCACCATTTTCGAACAAGGGGAAGAAACTACGTTTGCTACGCATCGAATTAACACACAAAATGCTGTACCAATCTCCGTACCACCGTACCCGCTGAACGGACCAAAGAAGCAATTCCTGCGTGAAGAATTGGATCGATTAGTAACACAAGGAATTATAGAAGAGTGCGAGTCACCATGGTCCAGCCCTGTGGTTTTAACTCCAAAAGGAGACAGCTATTGTCTTTGCATAGATTATCGTAAGCTAAACTCAGTAACGGTAAGCGATAGTTATCCAATGCCGCGAATAGACGATATTCTTCACACCGCTAAACATACACCATTCATGTCTACAATTGATTTACAAGCAGGTTACTGGCAAGTTCCTGTTGCTGAAGAAGATCGTGACAAAACTTGCTTTGTGACTCCATTTGGGACGTTTAAATTCAATCGAATGCCTTTCGGGTTGAAAAACGCGCCCCCGACATTCGTTCGATTGATGGACAGATTTAGATCCGGTTTGAATGACACTGCAGTGTTCGTATATATAGACGACATTTTCAGAAACCTTCGAGAAGCACATAATAGACTTACAAACAGTGTTTTCGCGTTTAAAACTTTTTGGTCTTCGTGCTAGACGTGAGAAGTGCTCGTTCTTCTGTGACTCGGTCTAATTGCTCGGACATATACTGACCAGTAATGGAATTAAAACTAACCCTGACAAAATAGCTGCTATCAAACTGTTGAGACCTCCAACCAATCGCAAACAGATGCAAAGTTTCATTCAGACATGTAGTTGGTATCGCAAGTTTGTTTCAGAGTTTTCCGAAATTGCACGTCCCTTAACTAATCTTCTTAAGGAAAATGCGTCTTTCCAGTTTGGTGAAGCCGAATTAAGAGCCTTCGAGACGTTAAAAGAAAGATTGACTACCGCTCCAGTCCTTGCTCAAGCCGACCAGACCAAGCCGTACATCCTTAGAACAGATGCAAGTTGTTACGGCTTGGGTGCATTTCTACTCCAGGGGGATAAATACGACGAACATCCGATAGAATACGCCAGTAGCTTGTTAAAGGACAACGAGAAAAATTATTCAACTACCGAAAGAGAGGCGCTCGCCGTAGTATGGGCTGTAGAAAAATTTCGACATTATCTAGAAGGTGCGAAAGTGATTAAGTGTCGGATCATCAACCATTACGGTGGTTGCTGACTTTAAAATCGCCTTCGGGTCGTTTGGCTCGTTGGGCGCTCCGCCTTCAAGGCATGAATATGGACGTTGTATATACTCCTGGTAAAATCAACGTAGTAGCTGATCTGTCGTCTCCACCTTTTTGCTCGGATCAAGAAGGAAAAGTACAGAGCTACTTCGTTAGTGTTGACCTACTGTCATACGATGCTAAATCTATGCGACAGAAACAATTGGAAGATGATGAGATCAAGATTATTATATTATATCTCGAAGGTGAAGATCCGTTAGAGATGTCTAGATGGTGTGGGAGGGGATACGTGATGAACAATGGTGTTCTCTTCCGTTTCAACCCATATGTGGACTCTGAAGATCCCCAGTTAGTGATTTCCAAAGAATTGCGTGAAGATGTTTTGGCCCAATACCATAATTCGCCTACAGGGGGACACTACGGCATCGAAAGAACCCTTCAAAAGATCTCTTCAAAATTTTACTTCACAGATATGAGAAAATATATTGCTCGCCATGGAATGTCAGAGATATAAACCAGAGAATCGTCAACCTGCGGCCCTACTTCAAACCCCAGCCCCTTCCCAGAGATTCGAAGTCGTGGCTGTAGATCTATTTGGCCCTCTACCTGCAACCCCCAGGGTGAATCGATGGATCCTAATACTTGAGGATGTTGCTTCAAAATGGGTAAAACATTTCCCTTTAGTAAAAGCTGACTCTGAATCTTGTGCAAAAATTCTCATCGAAGAAATATTCCTGCGGTTTGGAACTCCGAGGAAAATGATTTCTGATAACGGCGTACAATTTATCAGTGATGTAATGCAGCAAATTACTTATTGTTTTGGTATCACAACTCCGTTCATTCCTTTATATCATGCAGAAAGTAACCCTGTTGAACGGAAGAACCGCGAATTGAAGACTCAGTTAGCTATTTTGGTTCAAGATCCCCACTCAGAATGGGATCATCACCTGAGCAGCATTCGACTCGCCATAAATTCTACATGTTGCGACTCCACGGGATATAGTCCTTCGTTTCTCACGTTTGGTAGGGAGATACGAGCTCCTTATGACCCTGTATATGATCTACGCAAAGTGATTGATGCAGAAAATTTCATACCAAGAATAACTCCTTACTTAAAGAAGCTAGCTACTACTCTGTCTGAGGCAATCGATAGAAATTGCAAGAAACAAGATGTCCAGAAAACCCGTTTAGATTCCAGACGACGACCAGCTGTATTCAAGAAGGGTACAAGGTTCTTCTGAAATCTCATACTCTCAGTAGCTCCAAAAGTGGATTATCTTCAAAGCTTGCCCTTTAAAGGGATGGTCCTTATATGATCTTGCGAATTGCTTCTCCTACAACCTACGAGTTAGGAAGCTGTACAAATCCTCTAGAAAGAATTGGACGCCATCACGCCGCGGACCTGAGCTCGTTTGTTGAAGGGACCAGAAGTGATACATTAACGCCCTTAATACCAAAACGGAGGAGGGGTCGTCCTAAAAAGAATGTTTCATGTTTAGAGGGGGAGTTTGTAACAGAACTTAGTTTTGATTAAAAAAGAAAAGTGGGCTGATGAGAAAAAAGGTTGACAGATAGAAAATAGTATCTTAATGTTTAATTTTGTTGATGTTTTGTACATTTAAATAAATGCATCATATTATAATTGTTAATTTGTAGCTTTATTGTGGCCAAAAGGAACTGAACACAAAAAAGTTAAATGGTTTGTATCAGATGGTATTTCATACATGATCAAAACTGGTACTGATTTGAAGGTGTTTTATGAAAATATAACACACTTAACATGTATGGCACATGGGTTACATTTAGTGTCTGAAACAATTAGACTGAATTATCCAGATGTCAATGGGATAATTAGCAATGTTAAGAAAATCTTTTTAAAAGCACCAATAAGAGTGGAGTTTTATAAAAACAGTTTACCAAATGCACCTGTCCCACCTGAACCTGTATTTACAAGGTGGGGCACATGGATTCAAGCACCATTGTTTTATGCAGAACACATTGATGTTTTAAAACAAGTCAGTAAATATTTATATAGTAGTTTTTTACTATCATTCTTATATCGAATATTTTTAGGTTGTAATATCATTTGAAGCCACAGATGCACAAAGCATTAAAAAACCTCAAGAATTCCTGAATAAAGCAAACGTTAAAAATGAACTCTTGTACATTAAAACTCACTTTAAAATTATTGCTGATGCAATAGAACAATTAGAAACTATAGGTTTAAAATTAAACCAAAGTCTGGAAATTGTGCAAAAAGTGTATACATCTTTAAAAAACACACCAGGAAAGGTGGGGGAAATTATGTTCTTTATTAAAAAAGAATCCAAGATACGATTTTATATGTTCAATAAATAACGTAATTTGCGGTAATGGAAATGCTACCAACAATACATACGTAAATGAAAACGTAGATTGTTCAATAAATATTTAATTTTGCACCCACCACTTCTTGTGATGTGGGACGCACGTTTTCAAAACTTAAAAGTGTTTTAACCGATAAAAGGTGTAAATTTATAATCGAAAATTTAGAGAAATATATAGTTTGCTTTTGTAACTTATTTTAAATACCTGAATTAATATTTTATTTTTTGTTAAATGCGACTTGCTTTAATTTGATCGCCATTTTTTTGCGATAACTTAGAATTAGTGGATGTAACTAAGTATAGATCGTTTGTTTATTTAATCATTTTTTTGTTTGTTACACAAAATATTTGTTTCTATAATGTTTTGTTTAATATATTTTTTTTAATATATATTTTTTTGATGTATGCTTTTTCGTTGAGCAAATATTTTTTCCTCCACTAACTAACATTTTTATAACCTAATTCGTCAATTTTGGAACCTAAAAATGTCTCCTTTTATTCATTTTTTAACGACCTAAAACCCGAAGCCTAATTATTACCAACTAAAATCCATCAAATATTTCATGAACCGGGACTCTGGAGAAGAAGTCGTTAAATATTTTCTCAAACACGTTTACGTACACCTGGGGAAAAGCAGCTTGCCAGAACCGTAAAATATCTTCCCAATTTTCATTAAACTGGGCTACAATGTCTTCGCTCAGTCGCTTGTTGTCGAACAAATTTCCATAATTGAAAGTTATATTTTGTGCTTCCATTATGAGTCGACTGTCAACGACTTTGTCATACTTCTCGTTCTGCCTCAAGTACGGTTCAAATTTGAACCTCATCTTGAACGTCGGACTTGCTAAAAATTGAAAATAATTTTCAAAAAAATTGGGATTTACTTATTTACTTAATGTTGCTTTTGCCACTGTGGACACATCTATAGGCAACACAATAAATCTGCCGCGTATTTGGTGCTCATACCCGAAAACTAGCTTGAAGAAGGTCATATTAAGCCACAAGACTTGGTTTTCAAAATCTAGTCTGAAATTTTGTTCATTATTGTAAATTTGTTTGTTTAAATGGTCGACACTTACTCTGCTTTTGTTGTATTTATCTTCGTGAAACCGTGAATTTTAAAGTTGCTGTATTTTTGGCGAATGCAAGTGGTTTTGTTTCCAAATTCCACGAGTAAGTCTTTCGACACCAGAGGTTCCAGACTGGGCAAACCGTAATCGTCGAACGACTTGTCTAACTGACTTACAGCATCTTGAATCGCTCTCGACAGGCACTGATTAAAGTCACTTTTTCTTTTATCGCACTTTGTGAAAGTGGAAGCTGCAATATAACGTAGTTACAAAAAACCAAAAACACATTTTGCTGAGTAATTACGAAGTGTTAAAGTAAAACACTGATGTATCAAAACCGTTGTAAATGTAAGCACTAGGAACTCTTTCATTTTCGTTTATATCTTCACAACTAAGTTTTTACTAGTAACGTTCTGGCTAAAGTTTAACCGGTCAGGTTATAGATTAATTATGCGTATATTATTATATAACATGATCGATAATGAATAACCTTGGTGTGAGAAATAGAAAAAAGTAAAAATCATTATTATTAATTAACAAGGTTCAGACTTAGCAAAAAACATTTCAGTCGCAACCATCATAATAAATTTCCGTTTCTAAATTATCTAATGCATCTTGAAGAACTCGTTCCATACACAGATTTTTCCCCAGATTCATTTTGTCTATGTCGGCGAGAATTCCACATCTCAACTCTTCCATTGCCTTCCGCGTCTGCTCGAAACTTCCAAAACTTTCCATTATGTCTACAAACAGTTTCTTACTTTCCACATCTAGTGGTCTTTGTTTTAGCATATCTAAAAATAATGATAATTAAGCAAATAAAACGACATGAACTAATTTACCCAAGAGACGATGATCGTTCGGATGACTTTGAATAGCATGAATCATAGGAAAGTTGAATTTTCCTTCATCAAGATCGTCACAGAGAACCCGAACGGTTGCGTACTGGAAAATTGCATAAGAACCATTAAACATTTTTAATTTGGTTGGTTACCTTAGTACTGTGCAAATTTATATAGTCGTCGTATATCTGAAGAAATTCACCTATTTTGTCGCAAAGATCGACACTCAGTTCGATTGTATCGTTCTTGGCACACAGTTTCAACCACTGGACTCCCCATTTGAAGGAACTGGTACATTCTAAAACAGGAGCTTGTTTTTTTCTTACAAAAATTAATAAATAATTTAACTTACTAGCACGAACTAGTACTTTGAAATCGCAGAAACTAGGACACCTTTGAGAGTCTCTATAGTGGATTTCTAGTCCTTGCCCAGTGAAAAATCGAATACCCAACGTAGCAAAGTCATCAAGAGCGATGTCCTAGATCAATACGTTAAAAACACAGACAGCATAAAAACATTACCTTCCTGTTTTCTGCATAACAGAGTACATTTTGCATTATTAGAAACATCTTGTGGACTGTAGCATGAACTGTTAGTGAAATTCCATAAACCATATGGGCTGAAGGAAGTCCTCTACGAAGTATCGTTCCGTCCAGAATATCATCAAGTCTGGGAAAACTTCATCAATTAAAGTAATTAAGCTATGAGTACAACGTAAAATTACACAATAAGCACATCGTATAAGCTACTTCCAATATCGTTAAAGACTTTGAGTGCGTCTTGGGGACACTTAACCCAAACATTACAAGAAAAAATGGATTGTTTAAAAATGTTACGATCTTCTGGGCCCACTTGTAGAGTGTGTCCCAAAGGTCGTGATAATATCTACAATAAATAATTTATTAAGTTCACTTTTGTGGCTACGTACTTCTTCGTCTTTGGTGCTTGCTGCCATCTTCAGCGATTCTTGGTGTCTTTTTGATATAAACGCGTAAATTGTTTTTCACCAAGAGCCGGTTTATACAAGCTCAATTAAAAATATTTAATTGCGATTGCGATTTTTAACACTGTGTTAAAGTACCACGTGACGGACTCTACGCCAATCAGACGTCGCTAAATGTCTCGTTAAATGTGTGATTAACTTAATCGAAATTAAACTTTTATACAAACTGGCTTTTACTAATATGTTATGAGTACTACGCTAATCAGACGTCAGACTTTAATCTCATTTAAAGTATCTAATATACTGGTTCAGTTTTTTTAAAATAGGGTACATGATTTTACACTTATAAGACATTTGGAACGTATGCAAAAAACGCTTTTACTTATGCTGTGTGCTCTATAACAAGAATAGTCGCGATTTAATCAACATTGACCTTTAATTTTGAATTACTTTAGATTTGTGGCAACTGATTACAATAATAAAGATGTTTCGGGTCGGTTTTGGCCTTTGATGTTACCAGTTGGTACAATAACTGCGTCGAGATTTTTATTAATTCTGCTGCTATAATTACGAACATATTAGAACACTCATGATTAAGACTCGGATAATATGCAAAATGCATATTTGTATTCTTTGTGTCTCCATTTAACTCTCGGTTTGAATAAATGCAACTTTTTAGATGTTTTTTATTTGTGAACGAATCTTCGTCGCACCGAATAATGTTTTCAAAAAATATAATTCTACCTCTTGGCTTCTTATTGGTAGCCTCTCTATAAAGTTCCTGCCGTCCGGCAAAAATTTCTATTCTTATCCTAAACATGGAGATTTTAAGATGTTTTAATTTTTCGAATTTACGATTTTTGATTTCTCAATTTCTTGAAACTTCAGCTTCAGGATTTTTCAATTATTTGACACTTCAAATTTTATTTGCAATTTTTTTGGTTATTTCATTTCTCGATTTCCTGACTTTACAATGTTTAGATTTTTTGGTTTTTCAATTCTCCAGTTTCTCAATTTTTCAATTTTTCCAATTTCTGGTTACTGATTTTTCCATTTTTTGTTTTTTCGACTTTTCGATGTTTCAGTTTTGAGATTTTAAATTATTTTAAGATTATATTTCGATTTTTCGATTTCTTGATTTATTGCTTTTTCGATTTTTCGATTCTTCGGTTTTTCCAATTTTTCTATTTTTGAAAATTTTGATGTTTCGATTTTTCGGGATTTAAAATTTTCGATTTTTATATTTTAGATTTTTCTATTATTCTATTTCTCGATTTATCGAGATTTTGAAATTTCGATTCTTGATTGTTCAATTTCTCGATTTTTTGACTTTTCAATTTTTCGATTTTTCGATTTTTTAAATTTTAAATTGTTCAATTTTTCAATTTTCAGCTTTTCGATTTTTCGGTTTTAGCCCAATTGATTTTTTCAATTTTTCAATTTTGGCCCAATTCAAATTCTCAGTTCTTCGATTTTCCGACTTCTCGACATTTTTCGAGTTCTCGATCTTTTGATATTTCAATTTCTGGATATTCCGTTTTTGAATATCACATTTGGTACATTTTTGTATTTCTCGGTTTTTCGATTTCTCAATTTCTTTATTTTCCGATTTCTCAATTTCTCTGTATCAATTTTTCGACTCTTCAATTTTTTTAATTCTTTAATTTTTCAATTTTTTAATTTTTCAATTTTTTTATTTTTCAATTTTTGATGTTTTAAATTTTCAAATTTTTCATTTTTCAATTTTTCGATTAATTGATTTTTTGATATTTCCATTTCTCCATTTCTCGACTTTTCAATATCTCGATTTTTCACTTTTTCATTTTTTCAATTTTTCGATTTTCTAGTTCTTTAATTTTTGAATTCTTCAATGTTTCAGTTTTGGAATTTTTCAGTTTTTCGATTTTTCAATTTTTCTTTTTCCATATTTAAGTTTTGAGGTTTTCCAATATTTCATTTTTTCTATTTTTTGATTTTCCGACTTCCCGACTTTTCCATTTCTCAATTTCTCGATCTTTTGATGTTTCAATTTCACGATGTTTTATTTTTGAATACCTATAACATTGTGTACATATCTCTATTTCTCGGTTTTTCGAATTTTCGGTTTTTTGATTTCTCAGTCTTTCAACTTCTGATTTCTCAATATTTAGGTATTTCACTTTTGGGATTTTGCAGTTTTTTATTCTTCAATTGTTGGATTTTTCAATTTTTTATTTCTTGGATATTCAATATTTCGATTACTCAGTTTTGGATATTTCAGTGTTGGGACCTTTCAATTTTTCGATTTTTTAAATTTTCGTTTTCTCGATTCATTCATTTTTCGATTTTTCAATTATCCCATGTTTCAATTTTACGATTTTACAGTTCTTCAACTCTTCAATTTTTTTAATTTTAAATTTTAAATTTAATTAATTTTTGACGTTTTAAACTTTTTAATTTTCGATTTTTCAATTTCTCCATTAATTGATTTTTTGATTTTTTTCATTTCTCCATTTCTCCACTATTTAACGTCTCGATTTATCACTTTCTCAATTTTTCAATTTCTTGGTTTTTAATTTTAAATTTTTCAATTTTTCAATTTTTAGCTTTACGATTTTTCAATTTTTCGACCATATATTTTCTATATTAAATTTTTCAGTTTTTCAATTTTTGACGTTTCAAGTGTTCAAAATTTGGATTTTTCAATTTTCCGATTAATTGATTTTTTATTTCTCCATTTCTCATTTCTTTTTCATTTTATCAATTTTTGGAAGTTTTAATTTTAAATTTTTCAATTTTTCAATTTCTAGCTTTTCAATTTTTCGATTTTGGCCCAATTCATTTTTCTCAATTTTTCGATTCTCCGACTTCTCGATTTTTCCATTTCTCGTTATCTCTATCTTTTAATGTTTCAGTTTTTCTATGTTTCGTTTTTGAATATTACATTGTGTACATTTTACTATTTTTTTTAGATTAAATATTTAAAATTTTTGTCGTTTTAAATTTTGAAATTTTCGATTTTTCAATTTTCCGATTTTTTGATTTTTCCATTTCTCCATTTCCCAACTTTTTAATGTCTCAATTTTTCATTTTTCATTTTTTGAATTTTTCGATGTTTCAATTTTACCATTTTTTTTATTAAATTTTTCAATTTTTGTCCTTCTGTATTTTCAAATTTTCGATTTTTCAATCTCCCGATTTTTTTATTTTTCCATTTCCCCATTTCTCGATTTTTCAGTTTTTCAATTTTTGAATTTTTCGATTCTTCCATTTTTTTTTCAATTGTTCCATATTTCAGTTTTGGGAGTTTCCAATATTTCAGTTCTTCAATTTTTCTATTTTTCGAATTTCCAACTTCTCGACTTTTTCATTTCTCGATTTCTCGATCTTTTGATCTTTCAATTTCTCAATGTTTCGTTTTTCCCTATATTTCCAATGCAGCTTTTTTATCCTTCAATTGTTCGATTTTTCAATTTCTCATTTCCTGGATTTTCAATATCTCGATTACTTAATTTTCGATACCTCGGTGTTGAGACCTTTCAGTTCTTCGATTTTTCAAATTCTCGATTTTTTCATTTTGCGATTTCTCAATTTTCCGATGATTTCAATTTTTCGACTCTTCAAGTTTTTTAATTTTAAATTTAAAAATTTTTCTATTCTTGGCGTTTTAAATTTTCTAATTTTCGATTTTTCAATTTCTCGGTTAATTGATTTTTGATTTCTCCATTTCTCCATTTCTCTAATTTTCAATGTCTGGATTTTTCATTTTTTCAATTTTTCAATATTTTTTGATTTTAAATTTTTCAATTTTTCAATTTTTTGCTTTTCGATTTTTCGTTTTTGTCCAAATTCATTTTCTCGATTTCTTCATTTTTGGATTTTTCAATTTTACGACTTTTCAATTTTTCAACCCTATAATTTTTTCAGTTTTGGGACTGTTCCAATATTTCAGATCTTCAGTTTTGCTATTTTTCGATTTTTAAATTTTAGATTTTTGAATTTCTCAAATTTTAACATTTCAATTTTGGGAAGTTTTGAATTCTGCATTTTGAAATTTTCGGATATTTTAATTTTTCGATTTTTTTAATGTTTGAGTTGCTCCATCCTTCGTTTTTTCAGATGTTTGATTTCTCGATTTTACAAATTTAGTTTCTCAATTTTTCAATATTTCTTCAGTTTTGAGATTTTTCGACTCTTCAATTTTTCGATTTTCAAATGTTGCAATTTTTGACGTTTCTAAATTTTTAATTTTTCGTTTTCCCAATTTCTACATTAATTGATTTTTTGATTTTCCCTTTCACCGACTTTTCAATGTTTTGATTTTTTAGTTTTCCAATTGTTCAATTTCTCCATTCTTCAATTTTTCAAATTTCTCATTTTTCGATTTCTCAATTTTTCGATGTTTCAGTTTTTCGATGCTTCAGTTTTGGGATTTTTCGATTTCTGGATTTTTTGTTTTATCGATTTTTCGATTGTAGATGTTTTGAATTGTCGATTTTTCCAGTTTTCGATGTTTTAATTTTTCAGATTTTAAAATTTTAGGTTTTTCGATTTTGGGTTCTCGGTTTTTCTATTTTTCTATTTTTCAAAATTTTTCGATTTTTCTTTTTTAATTTTTTGAGAAGTTTTGATTTCTGCATTTTGAATTTTCGGATATTTTAATGTTTCGACTTTTGGAACTTCGATTTTTCGGTTTTTCAATATCTCAGTTTTTAAAATTTTTGATTGTTCGATTTTTAAATTTCTCGATTTATGGATGTTCCAATGTTTCAACTTTTCGATTGTTCAATCTGTGGATATACCGATTTTTCAGTTTTTCGATTTTTCGAAAAGCATTTTTTCCCGTTCATTGCCTGCTTTAAATATATTTCGGCAGAACCTCTCAAATTTTGCTCCTTGATATTGTTTAATTTTCTGTATTGGGGTAATCCCGTTTAGTAACACAAAAAATCGAGAGAGGAAAGATCTGGTGAGCAAGCTGGCTATTGCGCTAATAGGAAAACTGAATTTATCAAATATGAAGAACCGCAACTAAACTCTGTCTTGTGCGATTTTTATTTATTTATCGTTATTTTTATCATTTGTGAAGGTGACATATAGGAATCAGTACATGATAATTTACGGACAATTAATATACAAACGTGGTTTTTTAAACCTAAGGAAGGCATAATAACGTTACCATTAACAACGTCGCCACGAAAATGAAACAGTTCGTAGTCTTTACATTCTTGTCGGTTTTGGTACATCAGCATTTTTGTGTAATCCTTCGTAAATTACTCAAAAAAGCTTATAGTTTTTTTTCTAAATACACTATGTTACAGCTTCCACATTCACAAAGTGCGATACAAGAAAAAGTGACTTTCATCAATGTCTGTCGAAGGCTTTCAAGACGCCATAAGCCAGTTAGACAAACCCTTAGAAGATTATGGTTTACCAAATCTAGAGCCTCTAGTGTCGAAAGACTTAGTCGTGGAATTCGGGGATGAAACCACTTGTATGAAACAAAAATTCACTAATTTTAAAATTAACGGTTTGACGAAAATAAATACAACAAAAGCAGAGTAAGTACTGGATACCTAACTAAATAGACGAATAAAATTCATCGACAAGGTTTTAGGGTTCATTTTGAAAATCAATTCATCTGGATAAATATTACCTTTTTTGAACTAATTTTCGAATACAATCACGAAATACGCGGCAAAGTTATCGTGTTACCTATAGATGCATCAGTAGTCGAAAGAGCAACTTTTAGTAAGTACCCTGAACCCGAAATTTTGGAAATTATTTTCGAAATTTTGCAGTCAATCCAACGTTCAGAATGAGGTACAAATTTGAGCAGTTCGTGAAGCAGAAGCAGAGGTATGACAGAGTTGTTGACAGTCAATTGATAATTGAGGCACAAAATCTAACACAAGCAATTCTTCCTAAAATGTATATACCTGCCGCACCGGGATAGACGATTACCGGACATGGTCATAAAAACATCGTAAGCCGATAATCATTTCCCGTATTCTTTTGGAATATTAATTTTAATGCTGGAGATAATTATTAAATATACTCAAACACAATTTGGACACTATATTCTTTTTAAGCGTACGTAATAAATATTGCACAATTTGCGACACATCAAACAGCGAAGCGATGGCCTAAGTATTTGCAGGAAAAAAGAAAAGATTTTTCAATCTTGAATAACTATGCTGCAGTAAAATGTTTATTTTTTAAATTTAATACCACAATCCCTTCTTCTGCACCTGTTGAACGGGTGTTCAGTAGCGGAAACCAAATTCTGACACGAAGAAGAAATAATTTAGGTGACAATACGTTCGAAATGTTGTTAATTTAAAAAAAATTCATTAAACAATACATAAAAAAAAACATAAACTTGTTTTCAGTTATTTTATTCGACAAAGCTTCAAAAAGTATCTGTTTTCTTGTATCTGTATTTAGATACATTTCGAAAAAATCGAAAACAATCTGTATCTAGATATTTTTATCTTCCATACATCTATATCTGTATCTAGATACTTTTAAAAGTATCTGTCCCCAACACTGAACCTCCCATGTTTTACTGTCGGACAAATTGACACCAAGATGGCTATAAACTGTGCAAATTGTCGGATTTTACATTTTTTGTGTGTCAAGAAAAACGAGATTAAGCTAAATGCTCGATTAGGTTTTTCATCTGGCAATGTTTATACTGTGAAAGATATAACTTAAATATTTAGGTACATGATTTATTTGGCTTCAAGCAACTTTTTTCATAATTGAGTAGAAAATCCAAGTTTTCGAGAAGGGAGACAGTTAATTTGATATATTTCCAACACTCCTGCTCGGAGTTTCCAAGAATAAGAAAATCATCAAGATATAATAATAATAATAATAAATTTTATTCAGCCATCAAGGTCGTGAATATACGACATCGGCATTGTCACAACATACAAAGAGTTAAAAGTGTCAATAGTGTCATACAAATATATACACATACATACATTTTTACAGTACAATATAGACGTTAACATCGATTCAGTACCTCATAATACTCTTATTTATCTATTAAATATTTTTTTAGTTCCCATTTGAATTTATTTGTTTCGCGTATATTTATTATAGTTGATGGCAAAGAATTATATGCGAGAATTGCTCTATAATGTGGGTCTTTTTCAAACCAACGGGTTTTATGTTTAGGCACGCTAAGATAAGCATTACTTCTTGTGGTCATCCGAGAGTAAAGATCCCTGTTTTTTTCAAAACTGGTTTCATTAGATCTTACATACATTATTAATTTAAACATATAGAGGGAGGTTACTGTCATTTTATGCCAAGTTTTTTAAAAAAAGATCTACATGATTCTTTACTTGGTAAATCAAGTATAATTCTTAAAAATCTCTTCTGGGTTATAAAGACTTTGTTCCACTCAGACGATATGTACCAGAAAACAATGCCATAAGAAATAATGGACTGTACGTAAGCGTAGTAGAATTGCATAAGACTTGCAATGGGTAATTCTTCTTTTAGAACACGTACTACATAGCATGCTGTATTTATCTTACTTATTATATTTTTAATGTGTTCCGAAAATTGCAGTTTGCAATCTATGACAATTCCTAGTAATTTTATTTCACTAGATTGCTGAGTTTGCATATGATTTATAAATATGTTTTCAAAATTTTTAAAAAATAGCAATCCTATTTTATCCACATTTAATTTTAGACAATTCTGCTTGCAGTATGTAATCATTTTGTTAATGACCGTAACTATGTTTTCAGAAAGCATATTAAGACTATGACTGCACACCATACACGAAGTATCGTCAGCAAATTGATAAACCTGCTTAATGTCCACGTGTTCATGTAGATCATTTACATATAGAAGGAACAATATGGGGCCAAGAATTGATCCTTGCGGTACCCCTTGCATGATATGACTAATATACGACTTTTTAGTTGTTAAAATATTATTAATAGTAGTCGTTACATAAACTCGTTGAGTTCTGCCAGTTAAATATGATGCTATTAATTTATTTACTTGCCCCCTAAGACCATATTTCTCTATTTTATTTAACAGGATGTCGTGTTTAATTGTATCAAATGCCTTTGACAAATCGAAGTAAACACCGGCACATTTTTGATGATCGTCAAGAGAATTCAGTAATGAGTCCATAAAATTAAATAAAGCAGTTTCGGTGTTACGATTAGGTACAAAACCATGGTGTGTTTGAGAAATGATAGCGTTACGTTGAAGGAAATTAATTAATCTATGATATTTAATTTTTTCAAAAATTCTTGAGATTGATGACAGAAGAGATATTGGCCTATAGTTGTTAATATTTTCTTTACTGCCTTTTTTGTGAATAGGAATAACTTTGGCTTCTTTTAACTCATTTGGAAAGTAGCCATCTAAAAAGGATTGATTAAGTATTTGAGTTAGGGGTTCACTTATAAGATTGTTGACGCTTTTTATTACAGTTATAGGAATTTCATCAATCCCACTTGAATATTTATTTGGTAACGTGGTAATCAATTTTTTTACTTCGTCTACTGTCACCGACATAAGGTACATGCTATTATTGACATATTTGTTACTAACTGAATGATTATTATTATTGGAACTACTAGAGTTGCTGTCCCTAGTCTTTCATAAACCTATTGGCTAATTCTGATGGATCAGCAATTGGGACATTGTTATCTTTGATTGAATATTGGTGCTTTCTATACCCCCGCTGTGTGATACTTTTAAAAATAGCAAACGTTGTTTTTGATTTATTTGTGGAACCATTAATTAATCTATAATTTTCATCTTGTTTTACTTTTTTTAAAAAATTCTTAGTCTTTTTTTTCCTGTTTAAGTTTTTGGAGCAGTTGTGGTGATTTATTTTTTATGTATAAGTTATATAGATCATGTATATATGTTGACCACGTTTTCAAATATGGGTTGTTAATTTTTTTTGTTTTATTTTGGATGGCAGGCTTTGTTATTAATGGATAGGATTTGTTGAAATGGTATTTGATTATTTCATAGAATTGTTTAAATTTACTGCTGCTGTCTGACACACAATAAACATTATGCCAAGATTCATTTCTAATGGCTTCGTAAAAAGTAAGATTAATTTTTGAACTTACGAAATTTCATTTTTGAGTATAGAGTGTTTCTGACTCTATTTGCGGGTCCCCAGAAGAGATTTTCAATACTTGCGAGAAATGGTCCGATATATATGACTTGATGACTTCACATGCTACAGAATATACTATTTAATGTCTAGAGGTTACCACAAATAACAGTTAACGAAATCAACTTAATTGTAAGTAAGTGTAACTAAATAAGTTTAGGCAATTCCCTAATTCCCAGCAGGCTTCCCAAAGCAGTTACTACCTAAGTACGATTATTTTAGTAATTAGTAGAGATATAAAAAAGGAACAAAGTTTCCAATTAATTACACTTGTCGACAAAAAGGTCAGTTTCTAATTTAATAAATATATCTTCAAGAACTCGTTGTAAATGTGGATTTTTCTCTAACTTCATTTTCTCCACTTCCTCGAAAATACCATTTTTCATTTCTTCCAGCACATTTCTAGTATACTCAAAACTTCCAAAACTTTCCATTATATCTACGAAAAGTTTCTTACTTTCCACATCCAGTGGCCTGTTTTTCAACATATCTAAGGCAAATAATTAAGAAAAAATAATGTTTTCTTTGACTGAATGAATATCATCTTTCGTGTAAAGGATACTCAAAAGCCGATGATCATCTGGATGACTCCGAACAGCATGAATCATAGGGAAGCTGAATTTTCCTTCATCGAGATCATCACAATAGACCCGAACGCTTGACCACTACGAAACCAATCAAACCAAACTCAAAAATAGTGAAAATTTGCTTACCTTAGGGTTGTGCAAATTTACATAGTCGTCATATATCATTGCAAAATAACTCAAATTGTCCCAAAATTTTGCACTAAATTGGATTTTTTCTTTATTGGCAAATAATTCTAACAATCTAACTCCCCAGTCCAAACCAGCGAGACATTCTAAAGTTAAAACGTGTTCAAACATGACAAATTAAAATTAAGCTAACTAGTGCAAAATTTTGACCTACTGCCGTAAATTATCGCTTTGTAATCGTCAAAGTCAGGGCACTGTACGGCATCAGTGAAGTGTATCTCTACTCCTTGTCCTGTAAACAGGCGAACTCCGACCTTAATTAGTCCATCGATAGCTTCTTCCTAAACGAAAATATGTTAATAAACAGAGTACCTACTATTTTCAAGCATTACAACTATACCTTACTATCTTCTAAATAATGAAACAATTCTTCAAGTGAAAGAATAGTCTTGTAAATCGTAGCTTGCACTGTCAAAGGAATTCCATAAACCATATGAGCAGCCGGAATTCCTCGACGAAGTATTGTACGATCTTCCATATCATCTACACTAAAAAAGTACAAAACAAAATGTATTTAAACCAGTACGTCAACATAACGTCTGGTTACATACATAAGACCAACATCATAAAATGCTTCTCCAATATTTCCATAAATTTTTTGTCTGTCTTTGGGACACTTGATCCAATAATTACAAGCACGCCAAATTCGTCTGATAATATTTTTATATTCTCTTCCTGCTTGAGTAATATGTACCGTAGGTCTTAATATTATCTACGAGTATTTTTTTTAAATTAAAGAGATTGTGATGTTTTATTTTTGTCTGTACCTCTTCGTCTTGGATCTGCGTTTCAGGTCTACTTGTTGTCATTTTCAGCCAATATTTGCTTGAATTACAAGTGAGTACACTAAAAAAAAAGTGTGTTTCTCCAGTTTTTATATTGGTCGCCTATCTGTTTTTGAGGTAATAAATCGTGCGTTTTTAGGTTGTAAAATTATTTATGTCATACCAAATGGGCATAAATTATTCAAATTTTGCATTTTTTTGTGGCAAAATTATCTAAATTATACGTAAATTTAAAATTTTGATTATTGTGTTGAGAAGATATAAATTACGAGCCCGATAAGGACAACATTGCTATAATCGAAAGACATAAATCATAAGATGAGTCATTTTGAAAGTGACATCTCCAAAAGTTCTTAATTGACTTCCTATGTGTACAATTTCCGAATCGTTAATATGTTACCCGTTAAGAATTGTTTTCTAACTAAGTAGTTATCCACAGTAAAGGTTGCAGTTAACATTATCTACAATAAACGAAAACTTATGAGGATTACAAAAACATTAATTTGTTTTTGACTTATAGTTCACAATAACGTAAAAATAGCAGGTGCTTTAAGGGCTTCAGCTCAAGTAATTAGTGGTGTACCTCCAGGGTCGGTACTTGGTCCACTTCTTGTTTTAGTTTATATCGCTGATCTAAAGTTCTCTATAAGCTCTCACTTCGCAATGTACGTGCACGATCTTAACATTTATAATGAAAGTTGCAATCGTCTTATTGCGACAAGTGACATGTCAGCTGTTCTTAAATGGTCAGAACAATGTCAATTCTTTGTTTGAATCGTTGATAACGTGTGGCAAATATTAACCTCATTAATATAAATTATCTGATGTTCAGTCTTAATTTCAGATGAGAATTCTTTACTGTTTAAAATTTCACGAAAGTGTATGGCGAGTTAAATGTTGTTATCGGTCTCTTTGAAACTTTAACACTTGTTCGGTTGTAGTTTAATAACACAGTTATAGAAATTGACCACTTAAATTGAACTGAGGTAAATAACACAAAAACACGTGGCGGCAGCGGAGTGCGCGGTTCCTTGTCGAGCTGGCGTGCTACAACGCCACCTATAGGTAATTTTGCTGTGCTCTAGAATAAATCTGAGATTGTTCGATCGCCACACTGTTATAGAAATCCGGGTGCCACCTCAACTTTTGGGGTCATTTGCATTCCCGAGAAGGCGCTCTGAGGTGGTTGTGTATTTGCATCCAGTTACTTTAGATAAAGGATTCTGTGAATAATAAAATCGAAATTTCGAGAAGAATCATCGAGCAATCATCAACAATCATTAATAATAATAGATGTGCCTTGAATCCGGCAGCAGGTTTCTTTGCATCAAAACAAGAAACTAGTCATCAAGACAGTATTTTGCCCATTCATAGGCAGTTTGATACAAATTTTAGTAATTTGAATAATTGTACCTTCCATATCATCTACACTAAAAAAGTACAAAACAAAATGTATTTAAACCAGTACATAAACATAACGTCTGTTTACACACATAAGGGCCACATTATAAAATGCTTCTCCAATATTGCCATAAATTTTTTGTCTGTCTTTGGGACACTTGATCCAATAATTACAAGCACGCCACATTCGTCTCATAATATTTTTATATTCTCTTCCTGCTTGTGTAATATGTACCGTAGGTCGTAGTATTATCTACGAGTATTTTTTTAATTAAATCGATTGTGGTGTTTTATTTTTGTCTGTACGTTACCTCTTCTTCTTGGATTTGCGTTTGAGGTCTACTTGTTGTCATGCCTACAGTTTCAAATTATTATCAAAACCAACAGCAAAATTCAATACTTACTCCTTATTTTAACAATACCGCCACTATGACTCAACTTTTTAGAGCGAATGGGTTCCATTTTCTCCCTTGAGTTTGTAAGTAGTACACTCCAAAAAGTGTGTTTTGTCCAGTTTTTATACTGGCCGCCTATCTTTTTTTGACGTAATAAAATGTGTCTTTTACGTTGCAAAATTATTTATGTCGTACCAAATGAGCTTTAAATTATTGCAATGTTCAAGTTTTTGTGGCAAAACGTTTGCATTATTTAAATTACATGGAAAGTTAAATTTTTTATTATTTTGGTGCGAAGATATAAATTGCGAGTCCGATAAGGACAACATTGCTATTATCGGAAGACATAAATCACAAGATTGATAAGATATCCTGGATATTTTAAGGCGATGACGATTGTCGTCATTCATATTCATAGTGACTGGGTAACCAACGTGTAAGCACCCAGTTATTACAGCAAACAAAACGAAAAACAATGCAACCTGTAGCAATAAGAAGAAGGAAAAAAATACAATGTTAAATTTATAATTAAAAGACCAAAATATAAATAAAACAATGCTCCCTAATTCTCTAAATAAGACATTAACGTGTTTGATATTTAACTAAAATGATCATTTATCAATGTCACATAAATCACTAATAAGAAAATGACCAGAAGATTTTATTATAAAGTGTAATGAAATATTTAATGCAGGATGGTAATCATCTTCTGATACAAGGGGAAGATCCGATTGTTTTACGGAGCAATGAAGATTAGAAAATAGCAGATCTAAAATGCGATTGAATTTGTTATACTGAGAAAATTTATGAAAATTCGCAAAATTTTTGAGCAAGATTGTGACTATTATCTAAATTGGCTGAAAAATCTGGTACGTTAAAGTCACAAAGAACAACAACATTGTCCATATGAGATTCTTCAACAACACTGAATGAATTCAGAAAGAACTCATAATCATTGAAGTTAATTGAAGGAGGAATATAAACAACGAAGGAAAAGAGAAAGAGTCCACGTGACGATTTCATTTTTAGCCCAAGTATGTCTATTGTTGGTAAAGTTAACATGATATGCGATAAATCAATCTCGGAAGATATAAATGTGTTAAGAACTACAGTAAGAACTCCACCTGCTTTTGTGACATTAGTTGCAGCAAAATTTCTTTCTTTTCTATACACTAAATAATTATATGGAAATAATTCGCTATTTAATATCTTCAGAAAGCCAGGTTTCCAATAGTGCGATAAATTAATAAAAAGCAAACAAATGTTTTAATTTTGTCAGCATAGATAATTTGGCATTGTGACAGATTCACGGATCATTGCGACATTATTTAAAAAGAAAATGCCTAAAATAGTTTTACTACAACAAAAAATTGTATAAAAAGATGTTTTTTGCAGTTTCGAAAAGACAGGCCCGATCTTTCTTTCGAAGAAGTAACTACGAGGGACTCGAACATATTTTCTGTAATGTAAAAATACGCTGCAAAATATTTTTTAATTTTTTTTCTCATAGGTGGGAACATCAACTGTGGCGAAAATTTTATCAACAGGGGACCAAAATTTCAAAAAACATCACTATTTGGCAAGCGAAAACCAACGGATTTATTTATAAATTAATGTTTCGGAAAGACCTGCAACGACAAATTTGGCAACTTAATCAAAAAAACGAATATTTCACTGTAGATACTCTTTTGACATATTCTAGGGAACATGTTTTTGATAAGTAAATTTTTACAAAATTAATACGGGCAAAATCAATTTTAGGTTAGCAACTACTAGTTCCGCCCACCCACCCTTTATTTTCTCAGAAGTGCACTGAATGATATGGTGCGTTCCCCATTACCACCACACATATTTTATTCCGTCCATCGTTTTGCGATAATCTCTATCAATATTTTTCGAATTTATTAAAAAGTTGCAACCATCTAAAAACTCGTATGTTTGACTGACATTTTATAATTATCTGGATTTAACTGGTTATCAAAATTAACGAAATTACTTTGGAAAGTTCTTGTTCGCTGTCTTGTATCACTGTGTACTTTACTTGGGACGGATTTATTTAATTTTAATGTTAAATTGTGTTTAATTTAAATATAAGGTTAAAATAGCAACTTCATGGTACAATACTAATGCTATTTAATACTTTTTTCGTAAATCGTAAACAGTTCTCACTATTTTTACTCTTAAAAATAAAAATTCTCAAGGAAAATATTATATCAATCACCTTGAATTACTAACTACAGTGTGTTTATAGTTCTACATGATCAATGTTGGTAAACATGTTCATTAGTCTTTTTTGTAACTAGTTATTTTTTTTAAGCCAGGTTATAATTGTTACCAATCACATTAAAAAAAAATTTAGCAATGTGTATCATAATATTATTTTACTCGGAAAAGTAAAAAGGAATCAACCTTCTCGCAAATTATTTATAAAAAAATAAACGTTAATATTATTGATTATTATTGCTATCGTCTTGACGATATAAAAAAGATTCGTTTTGTTGTTATTCATAATTTTGTTGTGTAATTCTAAATTAAACGGCCTGTATTACCAAGACGATCAAAACTTTTGCTTGCAAGTGTACATTTCATAATTACCTATTGGTAATTATAAATCACATAAATGATGAAATTAGGAATATGACTGTTATTAAGAACATCATTTTATATAAAACCACTTTACAAAATCACTACTTTTTATATCTTCGTTTGCTATATATAAAGATAACACTAACACATCAAATGTAATATATGTGTCAGCAAGAACTTCATTGAAGATACAGCCCAAAGATGAAGAGGTAATTTGAACACGAAACTAAAAATCGTGGTTATTTTTCTGAACGCAGATTTTATTGGCACCTATTAAGTATACACGTTACACAACCTGGGCCGGAATTTCGTAACATCATGAGAAGACTGTGGCGCGTGCTTGTAACTATTGGATTAAGTGCCCCAAAGACTTGCAACACGTCTATGGTGATATTGGAGATACAATTTATAATGTGGCTCTTATGTAAATATGCTCTGGTTACACAAATATTTATTTAAATTTTCTTCTGTTTTATACGTTTACAGTTTAGATGAAATTGAAGATTTAACAAAACTTCGACAAGGAATCCCCGCCGCCCATATGGTTTATGGAGTCCCGTTAACGGTGCAAGCTACCATACATAAGGCTATTTTGCTCTTTCAAAACATGATTTATCATCTGGGAGATAGTGAGGTGTTGTCTAGTTGTAAAAATATATAATGATACCTATAGATTTGTTTACAAATATTCTTATTTAGAACCCCTCGTTGGTGGCTTCATTAGAGTAGGTCTCAACCTTATGACAGGGCAAGGGGTGGAAATATACTATAGGGACACTGAAACATGTCCTACTTTTGACGATTCCAGGGTGGTGGTTCACGGCAGTCAGTTAAACATCAGCTTTTTCTTTAATTTTAATCACCATAATATGTTTCTGTTTTAGAATCTTCCTGCACCTTTATGTGGGGAGTTCGATTGTTAGAAATGTTTGCCAAGACCAAAAAAATCAATTTCAGTCACGAATTTTTGGACAAAATGGGTTACTTCATTCAGGTATATGACGACTATATAAATCTGCACAATCCTAAGGTAAGGAAATTAGACATTTTACATTTGATTTAAATGTAGTTTCACAGTGGGCAACAGTTCGGATCTTCTGTGACGACCTAGATGAAGAAAAATTCAGATATCCGATAATTCATGCTATTCAAAGCCATCCGGAAGATCATCGCCTTATAAGTATTTTTTGCACATAATGTTTGATCAAGTTGTTTTAATTCGTCTTTTCAGATTTGTTGAAAAAAAGGCCGCTAGACTTGGAAAGTAAGAAGCTTTTTGTAGACATAATGGAGAGTTTCGGAAGTTTTGAGCACAGTCGAGAGTTTCTGGAGGATTTGAAATATGGAATTCTCGAAGAGGTGAAAAAAATGGAATTAGAGAGAAATCCACATCTGGAGAGAGTCCTTGATGATATTTTCAATAATCTAGAAACTAAACTTTTTATAGATGGGTGTGATTAAGTGTAAATTGTCTAGGTTTTCGTAAAATAACTAATGACAAAATAACTGCTTAGGTTAGATAGAAGACTTTTATAGATGCTAGTATATTTCTATAGTTATTGCCTTGGAATGTAATAGTATGCATTAATTAGTGGATTATCATTACCAAAAAATAAGTGAATATAAAATTATGCGTTTGAACTCCGTTGTTTGTAAATTATTTCTTCTTGCTGTCATAATTTGGTTTCTGCTACTAAACACCCGTTCCACAGGTGCAGAAGAAGGGATTGTGGTATTAAATTTAAAAAATAAACATTTTACTGTAGCATAGTTCTTCAAGACTTTTCTTTTTTCCTGCAAATAGACCGTCGCTTCGCTGTTTGATGTGTCGCAAATTGTGCAATATTTATTACGTACGCTTAAAAAGAATATTTTTTTTTTGTTTTTATTCCAATACTACAGTGTACAAATTGTGTTTGAGTATATCTAATAATTATCTCCAGCATTAAAATTAATATTTCAAAAGAATACGGGAAATGATTATTCTGTGCTGAAGGTCTGTTGTCGGCAACCTGTCATAAATTATTATTCTTCAATATCGGCTTACGATGTTTTTATGACCATGTCCGGTAATCGTCTATCCCGGGGCGGCAGGTATATACATTTTAGGAAGAATTGCTGGTTCCCTTTAAGGCAAAATATATAAGTACAATTTCTTAGAAAGGTATATAAACCCCTTTTAGGATCAAAGGCTGCCTGGCAGGCCGGAATCACCAGAGTGCAACTTTAAATTTTCAGATTTTTGTTGAAACTCATTTTATTTTAATCTCGTTTCACGATTTCTGAGAACATGTCACGATTAATTATTCTACCGAGGGTTGTAAAAATATTAATTTTGTTGCCCACTTAAACATAATCGGCACATTCTAGGGCAAAACGGACCTACCAAGCCCGTCTCGCGTTAGGTCCAACAATGAAAAAGTGAAGAAATGACACATGTGGCAACAGGAAAAGATGCTACATTTGTCTGAAAAATAAAGATATAAAACAGTAACAAATATGCGATTTATGCGAAAGAAATGTATGTATTGAACATTCGATTAGTCGATGACAGAACTAATTTGTGTTAATTGAAAGAATTAATCATTATGTAACACGCAATTATTATTTTCTAAAAATAATAACATACCTTAAACAAAATTTTTAATATTAAAATTACTCTTATTTAATAACACAAATACAACCAGCAGGCCTACCAGACTCGGGTTGCTCAGGTACACAGATAAAATGCATTGCCCCGATATGCATAAAAGGTAGTGAATAGTGAATTGTTGTTTATGGTTTTTAAAATACCATTTTACCATGGCTTAGATTTATTACCTCTCAGGATTATATTTAAAGATGTATAAATACTGAAGGCTACAATGTAGGAAATGATGGTATTTAAAATTTAGTGGACCTCTTACCTCTATTTTTGTTTATGTGACCAAAATCACCAACATGAAGTATCAAAAATTACTACTAGTATAACTCAACTAATAACTACTAAAAAAAAAAGTGAAATAAAAAAATGTATCTGTATCTACGCCATTAATTTTGTATCTAGATACAGATATTTTGTACTTAAATTCGATTTTATCTAGATATAGATACTAGATACCCAAAAATGTATCTAGATACTTTATTTAGATACAAGTACCTAGATACTGCCCAACACTGATCGCTGGCTTTTCGTATACCATCAAAAATTCACGACGATAGAAAGAAAAAACAACCCATTATCTTAGAACATGGTATTCAGGTTAACTCGGAAGTATGGACATGGAGGGAAAACAGATCTCTCGGTATAGTGCGTTGCTTTGATTACTTCCTCAATACAACACTCACAGTATTGTAGCTTTCGTTTTGGTCAATGCTGGTTGATGAATCAGAGAGATAGCGGTTACACCACCCATGTTAAGTGCAAAATGTCAGAACTCAAATTTTGGGCCAACAGGTAGGTATGTGAGTTCAAAATAATTAAATAACATTTCTAACTGATGGTTTCAGCCTTGATACTGTTGCAACTAAAGGAATCTCAGCAATTTTAAGTACAGTTGCTATGCAGCAACTTATAAATCAGGTTCTAATCTTTACATTGGTCACTCTAGAGGGGTTACTTTGGCTTTTATGTACGCTTCTGAGTATCCTAAAGAAGCCCAAAAAATTCTGAGAGGTGTGGTCGGTCTGCCTCCCATTGTATATTTCGAACCCGTTTTCTATATGAAAATACTTTTCCAATTATCACCTGCACTGAGTGTAAGTTTCTCCCTTTTAATTTTCTTCTAGTGGCAGCTTATTCTTTGTTATGCAGAAAATCGTCAACGTATTGAGAATCTCAGTGATAAACTATCGAGTCGAATATACAGCAAAGTTTTATTAGTTTCTTTGTACTGCAGCGAAAAAGAATATTTTCGGGTACCAAGTGGAACTAACACCAAGAAGTTGAAGTTTGGTCACAACGATTACTTTTTTTCTGAAGACAGTGAGGAGTTATTTTATGGGGATCTCATTCGAGTACTGGATAAATTGCACTCCAAGAGATAACTTTGCTTGATGCAGATATAGGGATGGAAATAGAAATAAATATTTGTTTTATGCATTTTTTACCTTATTCATCAATTTGTCGTACTCAATTCTTTATTGGTCGTTAATCCAAAAAGTTCTGCGCCGGTACTTTTCGCAAAATGTTATGTATAGAAGTGTGGAAACAGTCCTTGCAGTACTTAAACGCGTCGTTTCCATTTTAGTTAATTTTGGCATTTCAAAAACCTAAACATTTCTCCACTTCATCATGTTATAATTCTAGTTTGTTTGTAGAGTGATAACTTGTTGTGTTTATAGGGTAAGTAGTTAAGTACTTTTGAATTTTCCTACATGTTTGTATTTTAAAGTATCTTACAATAAAATAAAGTTGTTAAGTACTGAGGTAAATTGTGGAGGTTAAATGGACAGAAAATTGGTAAAGGTGCCTAATTTGAACCTGGTTTGGCATCTCAAATTGGACCGGTTCAATTTAAGGCGAGTCGCCACGTTTGGCTCTTATGGTGTGTGTCATATTCAGCATGTAATATTTCCAGTATTAAGGGGTAATTTCATAATCAAAAGCCGCGTTCCAAAATGTCCGTATAAAAATGGAAACTTGCAGAAGACATTTCTCACCCTTTGAGTCGATAAAAAAAAAACAGTTCAGTTTGTACGCGATTTCGCCACTGCCGACCGGAGGCAAAAAAACATGTGAACGACAAGACAACGCATCCCAATCTGATATGGAATTAACACACACCATATAAAGAAAAATGAAAACAAAAAAAAATGAACAAAAAAATTAATAAAAAAAAGCAAGTCGCGGGAAAAAATCTGATGAGATTTATTTGAAAAAAAAAAGATAAGGTAACAGTAAAAAAAGGTAAGCATAACCTGTTGACACCTCAGACAGGCTCTGAAGAGGAAGAGAATAACGAAGGTAAGACGATTGTTTAAGTATATACTTAAACAATGGTAGCACAGAGTGTCTGTACTGTGGATGTGGAGTGTGGAGACACCTACAAAAGGTCACGTAGTGGAGAGGAATGGGCTAGCTGTAGCCGCTGTTCTAAAAAAACATAATTTATTTTTTCATTTTGAATAAAAGAAACACTTTTTGTCCAGTATTCCTTACTTATTTAATTGATACCAGTTTCGGGTTAAAACCGGATGACCGGCCTACAATATAAAAGAGGTCGATTTATATTATTCTGACCTAAGAATTTTTGAACATTACAAATTACCTGTTGAAAAATTGCAGCTCATCCCTAATCTCTTCCCTGTTTATAACACTCTCCAATATGTCCTAAACACCCTTTTTGATAAAAATTTTCATTATTCGTATTCGGGTGTTCGTCTTCTTTTCTTAAAATTCTTTCTGTTGATTATTCTATTCTACCTGTTCGTTGATACACTGTCTCGTTCTCTTCATCTCTTTCTGTACAGTAAGAAAAATCTTGTTAAACTTAACAAAATTTCAACAAAACTTTTGTCCCAGTGGGTCCACAATATTTTATTTGTTAAAAGAACAATTTTCGTTCATGTTATAAAAGAAAATAAAAACCAATTTAATTAAAAATTCCAAAAAATGTATTTTATTCTAATGTTTGATAACAAACAACAATCTATTTCAACATATGTACACATTAATTCATTATTTTCATACTTATTTACAACATAGGAACTGATTGATTACACTCTTTAGATACATAGGTTTGTTGAAGTCCTTATTAGTTGGAGTAATCACAGTTATGTTACTAGTAATAAACTTATAAACTACAATATATGTACATATCTCAACTACAAAGTAAAAATATCCCTCACATGTCATGATACTTTTTTTAATAAACTGAAAAAGCTATAATTAAGTCAGAATATACGACAAGGTTGCAGTCCGTCTTCGGTATTTTTGTTCCAATTCAGATTTTTACACTTTCTATTAACAACTATTCCCAAGAGGAAACCTGCTTCAATTATGTGCTTTGGTTTTGTTAAGTGTTTTTTCATCTGTGTACCAATTTTCAAGAAAAAAAAAAGTTTCGTAGTTGCTATGCTTGTAACATTTTCAGTATTTGGTCACAGTAAATTTCCCGCTTCTTCTCTGAAACAAACTTTGTCAGTTTGTCAAAAGAGGATGTTTTTGGAAAATCGTTGTGAAATGTTTAAAACACTATGAACAAACTTAAACCACAAGCCGCATCGACGCTCCAAGAGAACCACGGTTTGGTACAAAATGTTCATTTTAGTTATGCAACCTGAGTGGATCTATATAGTGAGAAAAATATTCGACGATGGAAAACAGCCTTGACGTCGTTTCTTGCTAATTCTGAGCATAAGTAGTTAAAAGGTATCATGGCACTTTACATTTCAAAATTTTTGAATATTTTGTACTCTAAGCGCCGAGCAGATGCAAATACAAAAACGCGTCCTGAATGCGTGAACAGTGAATCAGCGTTGCCATTTGTTAGAAATGAATGCTGCGTCCGTTGAGCGATCTTGACAAAAAAGACACACACAGACGAAATAAATTATACATTGGAGCAACCATTTACAACACTCCTTGCAAATAATAAAATTATTATCACATTACATATTAGAACTAGAATTAGTTGTGCGATGGAAAACTGTCTCAATCAAAGTGAATGGGTTATTAATATGTTAAATGATGTTACCTGTGAACGATTTGGCCATGTAAATAATATGACATTGATTAAGATGATTTTTTATCGCACCATACTGTTTTCTATGCAGTGATTTCGGAATGTATGGACAAATTGTAGCTCCTACGATGACAAGATGAAGTTCCGGCTGATGGTGCAGGAATTTCGCTTAATATCTCTGGTTTGGAATTCGTTTAGCCTGTGTTTTGCTGAAATTTTAAATATTTTGTGATATTGGGAAATTTTAAAGTAATAAAAGTTACCTTAAAACGCTCTTCTGTTGATATTGTCCAGGTCAGTTAGCGGCATTAAACCCATTTGTTAAAACTTGAGGTTAGAAACCTGATTCCACCTAAGATATATTTTGTTGTGACACGAAATTAAAACACCAGTTGCTGTTTTTCAATTCGTTGTTTTGGCAGGCAGGAAATGTCTATAATGCAAAATGTGATAAATAAAACTAAGTACTTTGGTAGGGAAATTTACCTCTTTTTGAAGCGGAAGTATGTTTCAAAACATTGTTCCAATATTAGTTCTTGATGAATAACAGAAGTTTTGGTTCCAATTTTTTTTAAAACTATGGAAACACCTGTACTGAAATGTTAAACCACATTTATAAAGTTAATTTTAAAATATTTTTAGTTACCTTAGTTTATGTGTTTTGTTTGTATTTTTTTAAAGTTTGATAGTAGGACGTACGCCAGTTTTTGCTGCAGTTCTCTTCGTATTGTTGTGAAGGCTTCACGAAAAAAATGTGTACTGAAATTCATAGTTACATAACGCCAAATATATTTCGTTGATGACTCACCTAAAGTAAAAGTTGAAGCTTAGCTGAGTTTGCCCGAAAATATACTTGAAAAATTTTCGTAAAATATTGACTGATCGAGTTTGCATTTATGTGGTCGTCAATTAATTAAAATTTGGAATAGTATCAAAATAATTTATCGAAAGTTCAAATTTTGTTTGAATAGAATAAAATAAATTTCATGCTAGTTAAAAAATCCGGAAATGGTACTTCAGAAAAAACTATAAACAAAATAACTATAAAAGAAGTCGTCATGTCAAATTAGTTTATTGAATTGAAATATGTAGCCATAAAAGAAAGTGACTTATTTAGTTTGTGGCTATGTTTTCCATAGATGTGAAAATTTTGTGAATCTCAAAAATAGGTTTAAATATAAGAATAGATAAATTAATTAATTAATTAATTAATTAATTAATAAGCAATACAAATCATTACAATATCTGAAAACAGATGAAGGATATAGGTATGTAGATATACAAAGATGTACATCATAAAATAGTGTTTTTCTTTTGATTTTGGTCTTTCATCAATTGTGTTCCACTAATTGTCAAATTTATTTCCTACTCTTATTAAATGGTGCGATATGTTTCTCAAATTGCTTTACCTTCTGTCAAAACAGTTTCTTATCTTTAACAAAACAATTTAGTCGCACATCAGCCAATGTGTACAATAATATCCAACCAAACACTGTTAGAAATTTACTCGACCAATCAAATGGAGAAAGAAAATGCTATGCAGCGCACGTAAAAGTAAACCAATCAACAGAAAGAACAAATATACAATTGGGTTGATCAACACTGTGTTTTAACTCTTACGGAAGATCACCAAGTAACCGAAGCGCAAACAAAGTTAAAGGTCAGCTGACAGGTCGTAATTAGTCGATTATTATTTTTTAAAACCTTATTGAATCACTTACAAGAAGATAAGATTAGGGGCGCAAGGACATATTTCAATGAACAATGTAAGATTTCACAGAACTGAAGAAATTCAACAATTGATACAAACCCATGGAGTTTTTTCTGTAATTCTACCTCGATACAGGACTTTTCTTAACCCAGTAGGTCAAAACTTAGTTGAAGAGTGGTAATGACTTGTGCAGCCCCCTTTGAAATCTACAGATCAAACCTAATTGGGAAACTGTTTAATCAGTGGAAAGTGATTATCAAAAGAAGTCATCCTAGACGAGAAGACGAATTAAATATGCAATATCCAAGTTCACAATACTTTTGACGCAATAATTTGTGGGGATTACCTCAACAGAAATGAAATTTTGAACTTAAATAATTTGTTATAGGTATTTCATGATTACAGATTGACATATTTTTTAAAATAAATTACTTATCCTTGGGCCTTGCGACAAATTGAAAGAATTTTGACAAAGAGAATTACTTTGGGCATTTGATATCAAAAAGGCAAATACGGGAAAAATGTGTCAAATAGTGAAACATATTCGACAAATAAAGAAAAACACTGTATTACCAAAAATAATGTAGACTCAAATTTTAATTTTAACAAAGTAGGTAAAATTGGTCCAAGGTATCAGACAGGACATATCTCGCTGCTGAAATACGGTCGAACAAATTCAGTTTTTTTCAATTCAATTTTTTTTAATATAAATCCTATAATTAAACTATGTAATAATATCTCTCAAAGGTAAAGGTAACATTGTTTTTAATAGATAGAGCAAAATTACCGTCCCTGATATGATCAACAAAATAACAATAAAAAAATGAGGCGGCGCATGGTAATAATAGATATTTACATAAAAGTCAGGAAAATGTCTCATTACTGAAGAGGAGCTATGTTGAAATACGAGGCACTTTGTGCCGAGTATTTTAAAGCTCCGAGTCAAATAAGACATTTTACTGACGAGTTTTGTATTAAATTTTTCCGGAAATCGCAATAAATCGCTAAAAATCGAGATTTTCCAACAAGTTTTTTAATTAATTGCGCAAAAATCTAGTTTGTCAATTTCTTGAAAACGATGGTTACAAACAAAACAATTATAAAATTTTGTGCGTACGTCAGAGCTGTGTGTTTATTTCATTAATTAATTATGAATACAAGCGAAAACACTGGTGAGGATGTTCCTTTTGACCTAAGCAAAGCAGCCGCTGCTGCTACTACAGAAGAATTGTTACCGTCGAAATCTAAGGAGCGGTATGAAAAGCAGTTCCAAATCTTTGAAGATTGCCGCAGGCTTAAAAATGTTACTTCGCTAACGGAAGACGTATTTCTGTCCCTCTACAAGTAGTGATTCATCTGAAATCTGTTGCACCGAAATCTCGACTGAAATTTTTGATAAAAAGGTTAAACTTGATCATAAATCTCTGTCTGGAATTAACATTGCAAATATATCGAATTCTACAATTAATGTTAATATCAGTAAATAGTGTAATTTACGAAATTTTGAATACATTTTTCTTGTTTAAATAACTAATTATTTTGCGTCATTTTTGTAGTTTTTACAGTACTAGTCAGGGAAATCCAATTTTCCTGCGCCTAATGTCGCAAGGAAATGCTGTTTCAATGACGATTTCCGGAAAAATATTAAAAGTCTGGCCCGGCGTAGAGGAGCTATGGATCGCCGTTGAACTAATCATTCGACGGATTTTTGGTGACTATTCGAGTTGAACCATCATTATTCATTTTATTAAACGAAAGGTTTTGCTCCACATTTTACTAAGTATTCGACAATTTTTCTGTGACCTTGAGAGGAAGCTGCGTAAAGCGGTGTCTGACCATATTTATTAGAGCGATTGATTTCGGCTCCGCATTTCACCAGGCATTCGACCATTTTTTCGTGACCTCGAGAGGAAGCTGCGTGAAGCGGTGTCTGATCATATTTATTAGCGCGATTGATTTCGGCTCCGCATTTCACCAGGCATTGGACAATTTTTTCGCGACCTCGAGAGGAAGCTGCGTGAAGCGGTGTCTGATCATATTTATTAGCGCGATTGATTTCGGCTCCGCATTTCACCAGGCATTGGACAATTTTTTCGTGACCTCGAGAGGAAGCTGCGTGAAGCGGTGTCTGATCATATTTATTAGCGCGATTGATTTCGGCTCCGCATTTCACCAGGCATTCGACAATTTTTTCGTGACCTTGAGAGCAAGCTGCGTAAAGCGGTGTCTCACCATCATTATTAGCGCGATTGATTTCGGGTCCGCATTTCACCAGGCATTCGACAATTTTTTCGTGACCTTTCGAGCAAGCTGCGTACAACAATGTGTTCTCATATGTATCAGCTGGATTAATTTTTGCTCCGCATTTCACCAGGCATTCGACAATTTTTTCGCGACCTCGAGAGGAAGCTGCGTAAAGCGGTGTCCCACCATATTTATCAGGGCTATTGATTTCGGCGCCGCATTTCACCAGGCATTCGACAATTTTTTCGTGACCTCGAAAGGAAGCTGCGTGAAGCGGTGTCTGACCATATTTATTAAAGCGATTGATTTCGGCTCCGCATTTCACCAGGCATTCGACAATTTTTTCGTGACCTCGAGAGGAAGCTGCGTGAAGCGGTGTCTGATCATATTTATTAGAGCGATTTATTTCGGCTCCGCATTTCACCAGGCATTCGACAATTTTTTCGTGACCTCGAGAGGAAGCTTCGTAAAGCGGTGTCCGACCATCTTCATCAGCGCGATTGATTTCGGCTCCGCATTTCACCAGGCATTCGACAATTTTTTCGTGACCTCGAGAGGAAGCTGCGTGAAGCGGTGTCTGATCATATTTATTAGAGCGATTTATTTCGGCTCCGCATTTCACCAGGCATTCGACAATGTTTTCGTGACCATGAGAGGAAGCTGCGTGAAGCGATGTCTGACCATATTTATTAAAGCGATTGATTTCGGCCCCGCATCTCACCAGGCATTCGACAATTTTTTCGTGACCTCGAAAGGAAGCTGCGTAAAGCGGTGTCTGACCATAATAATTATCAGCGCGATTGATTTCGGCTCCGCATTTCACCAGGCATTCGACAATTTTTTCGTGACCTTGAAAGGAAGCTGCGTAAAGCAATGTGTTCTCATATGTATTAGCTGGATTAATTTTTGCTCCGCATTCAACCAGGAATTCGACAATTTTTTCGTGACCTTGAGAGGAAGCTGCGTAAAGCGGTGTCCGACCATGTTTATCAGGGCTATTGATTTCGGCTCCGCATTTCACCAGGCATTCGACAATTTTTTCGCGACCTCGAGAGGAAGCTTCGTAAAGCGGTGTCTCACCATCTTCATCAGCGCGATTGATTTCGGCTCCGCATTTCACCAGGCACTGGACAATTTTTTCGTGACCTTGAGAGGAAGCTGCGTAAAGCGGTGTCTCACCATCATTATTAGCGCGATTGATTTCGGCTCCGCATTTCACCAGGCATTCGACAATTTTTTCGTGACCTTTCGAGCAAGCTGCGTACAACAATGTGTTCTCATATGTATCAGCTGGATTAATTTTTGCTCCGCATTTCACCAGGCATTCGACAATTTTTTCGCGACCTCGAGAGGAAGCTGCGTAAAGCGGTGTCTCACCATCATTATTAGCGCGATTGATTTCGGCTCCGCATTTCACCAGGCATTCGACAATTTTTTCGTGACCTTGAGAGGAAGCTGCGTAAAGCGGTGTCCGACCATCTTCATCAGCGCGATTGATTTCGGCTCCGCATTTCACCAGGCATTCGACAATTTTTTCGTGACCTCGAAAGGAAGCTGCGTGAAGCGGTGTCTGACCATATTTATTAAAGCGATTGATTTCGGCTCCGCATTTCACCAGGCATTCGACAATTTTTTCGTGACCTCGAGAGGAAGTTGCGTGAAGCGGTGTCTGATCATATTTATTAGAGCGATTTATTTCGGCTCCGCATTTCACCAGGCATTCGACAATGTTTTCGTGACCATGAGAGGAAGCTGCGTAAAGCGGTGTCTGACCATATTTATCAGCGCGATTGATTTCGGCTCCGCATTTCACCAGGCATTCGACAATTTTTTCGTGACCTCGAAAGGAAGCTGCGTGAAGCGGTGTCTGACCATATTTATTAAAGCGATTGATTTCGGCTCCGCATTTCACCAGGCATTCGACAATTTTTTCGTGACCTGGAGAGGAAGCTGCGTAAAGCGGTGTCCGACCATCTTCATCAGCGCGATTGATTTCGGCTCCGCATTTCACCAGGCATTCGACAATTTTTTCGTGACCTCGAAAGGAAGCTGCGTAAAGCGGTGTCTGACCATAATAATTATCAGCGCGATTGATTTCGGCTCCGCATTTCACCAGGCATTCGACAATTTTTTCGTGACCTTGAAAGGAAGCTGCGTAAAGCAATGTGTTCTCATATGTATTAGCTGGATTAATTTTTGCTCCGCATTCAACCAGGAATTCGACAATTTTTTCGTGACCTTGAGAGGAAGCTGAGTAAAGCGGTGTCTCACCATCTTTATCAGCGCGATTGATTTCGGCTCCGCATTTCACCAGGAATTCGACAATTTTTTTTTGACCTTTCAAGCAAGCTGCGTACAATAATGTGTTCTCATATGTATCAGCTGGATTAATTTTTGCTCCGCATTTCACCAGGCATTCGACAATTTTTTCGCGACCTCGAGAGGAAGCTGCGTAAAGCGGTGTCTCACCATCATTATTAGCGCGATTGATTTCGGCTCCGCATTTCACCAGGCATTCGACAATTTTTTCGTGACCTCGAGAGGAAGCTTCGTAAAGCGGTGTCTCACCATCTTTATCAGCGCGATTGATTTCGGCTCCGCATTTCACCAGGCATTCGACAATTTTTTCGTGACCTTGAGAGGAAGCTGCGTGAAGCGGTGTCTGATCATATTTATTAGAGCGATTTATTTCGGCTCCGCATTTCACCAGGCATTCGACAATTTTTTCGTGACCTCGAGAGGAAGCTGCGTGAAGCGGTGTCTGATCATATTTATTAGAGCGATTTATTTCGGCTCCGCATTTCACCAGGCATTCGACAATTTTTTCGTGACCTCGAGAGGAAGCTTCGTAAAGCGGTGTCCGACCATCTTCATCAGCGCGATTGATTTCGGCTCCGCATTTCACCAGGCATTCGACAATTTTTTCGTGACCTCGAAAGGAAGCTGCGTGAAGCGGTGTCTGACCATATTTATTAAAGCGATTGATTTCGGCTCCGCATTTCACCAGGCATTCGACAATTTTTTCGTGACCTCGAGAGGAAGCTGCGTGAAGCGGTGTCTGATCATATTTATTAGAGCGATTTATTTCGGCTCCGCATTTCACCAGGCATTCGACAATTTTTTCGTGACCTCGAAAGGAAGCTGCGTAAAGCGGTGTCTGACCATAATAATTATCAGCGCGATTGATTTCGGCTCCGCATTTCACCAGGCATTCGACAATTTTTTCGTGACCTCGAGAGGAAGCTTCGTAAAGCGGTGTCTCACCATCTTTATCAGCGCGATTGATTTCGGCTCCGCATTTCACCAGGCATTCGACAATTTTTTCGTGACCTTGAGAGGAAGCTGCGTGAAGCGGTGTCTGATCATATTTATTAGAGCGATTTATTTCGGCTCCGCATTTCACCAGGCATTCGACAATTTTTTCGTGACCTCGAGAGGAAGCTGCGTGAAGCGGTGTCTGATCATATTTATTAGAGCGATTTATTTCGGCTCCGCATTTCACCAGGCATTCGACAATTTTTTCGTGACCTCGAGAGGAAGCTTCGTAAAGCGGTGTCCGACCATCTTCATCAGCGCGATTGATTTCGGCTCCGCATTTCACCAGGCATTCGACAATTTTTTCGTGACCTCGAAAGGAAGCTGCGTGAAGCGGTGTCTGACCATATTTATTAAAGCGATTGATTTCGGCTCCGCATTTCACCAGGCATTCGACAATTTTTTCGTGACCTCGAGAGGAAGCTGCGTGAAGCGGTGTCTGATCATATTTATTAGAGCGATTTATTTCGGCTCCGCATTTCACCAGGCATTCGACAATTTTTTCGTGACCTCGAAAGGAAGCTGCGTAAAGCGGTGTCTGACCATAATAATTATCAGCGCGATTGATTTCGGCTCCGCATTTCACCAGGCATTCGACAATTTTTTCGTGACCTTGAAAGGAAGCTGCGTAAAGCAATGTGTTCTCATATGTATTAGCTGGATTAATTTTTGCTCCGCATTCAACCAGGAATTCGACAATTTTTTCGTGACCTTGAGAGGAAGCTGCGTAAAGCGGTGTCCGACCATCTTTATCAGCGCGATTGATTTCGGCTCCGCATTTCACCAGGCATTGGACAATTTTTTCGTGACCTTGAGAGGAAGCTGCGTAAAGCAATGTGTTCTCATATGTATTAGCTGGATTAATTTTTGCTCCGCATTCAACCAGGAATTCGACAATTTTTTCGTGACCTTGAGAGGAAGCTGCGTAAAGCGGTGTCCGACCATGTTTATCAGGGCTATTGATTTCGGCTCCGCATTTCACCAGGCATTCGACAATTTTTTCGTGACCTCGAGAGGAAGCTTCGTAAAGCGGTGTCCGACCATCTTCATCAGCGCGATTGATTGCGGCTCCGCATTTCACCAGGAATTCGACAATTTTTTCGTGACCTCGAGAGGAAGCTGCGTAAAGCGGTGTCCAACCATAAATATTAGCGCGATTGACTTCGGCTCCGCATTTCACCAGGCATTTGACAATTTTTTCGTGACCTTGAAAGGAAGCTGCGTAAAGCAATGTGTTCTCATATGTATTAGCTGGATTAATTTTTGCTCCGCATTCAACCAGGAATTCGACAATTTTTTCGTGACCTTGAGAGGAAGCTGCGTAAAGCGGTGTCCGACCATGTTTATCAGGGCTATTGATTTCGGCTCCGCATTTCACCAGGAATTCGACAATTTTTTCGTGACCTCGAGAGGAAGCTGCGTAAAGCGGTGTCCAACCATAAATATTAGCGCGATTGACTTCGGCTCCGCATTTCACCAGGCATTCGACAATTTTTTCGTGACCTTGAGAGGAAGCTGCGTAAAGCGGTGTCTCACCATCATTATTAGCGCGATTGATTTCGGCTCCGCATTTCACCAGGAATTCGACAATTTTTTCGTGACCTTGAGAGGAAGCTGCGTAAAGCGGTGTCCTACCACGATATTTATCAGCGTGATTGATTTCGGCTCCGCATTTCACCAGGCATTCGACAATTTTTTCGTGACCTTTCGAGCAAGCTGCGTACAACAATGTGTTCTCATATGTATTAGCTGGATTAATTTTTGCTCCGCATTCAACCAGGAATTCGACAATTTTTTCGTGACCTTCAGAGGAAGCTAAGTAAAGCGGTGTCTCACCATATTCATCAGCGCGATTGATTTCGGCTCCGTATTTGACCAAGTACTCTACAACTGTTTCGTGCCCCTCTCGAGAAGCTATCATAAGAGGCGTACTATCATCGAGTTCAACACTAAAATTTACTTCTTCATTAGAAATACTCGAAGATGAAAATAATATTTTAAACACTTCTGCGTATCCGTGCAAAGCGACAAAAAATAAAATATTAATTTTGTCTGTTCGACTATAGGAATCTTTCAGTTGTAATTTGCGTGATTGCAATAATTCCAGTTCCGCTCCCAAACTTTCACTTTCTTGTGCCCATGCTAAGGGTGTGACTTGATGTAAAAAATCTTCTTCTAATATTTCACATTTATCTAACAAAAACAATAACGCTTTAAAATATTCTTCCGTTTCTAATGAACTACCACTCATAATTTCCCAATTTGCCTTAATAACATAACCTCTAGATTCGGTTTGTACATTTAAACGCCCATATCTTCGTCCCCAAGAACAAATGAGATGTAAAGCACTTCTTCCACACTCATCTTTACGTTTAATTATTTCGTCGTCAAAGTTCTCCACTTCATCAAAATTTCTGTATAAAATCGCTATGTGGACCGGTGAATCTTTGCCTGTTAACATGTCGAAGAAGAAGCGTACATTATTATACCTTTGATCAAAAAATATGTCCTTGCGTACCATTCCAAAATTTTTGGCAAAATATAAGGCTACAAAATATTCGGCAAAGGAAGCATGTGCAAATTGCGGAATGCCGTTTTGTAGACCAGTCACGATACCGACAGTTGCGAAATCTTCAGAAACAGAATCTATCTTTTGCGAATAATCTATATTTAATTGTTTCAAAACATCTTCAGGAAATATTACTTTCAGCGCCAACTTTTCATACTGTTTCAATTTTTCTTCCTTTTTTTTCCTTACATCTTCTTCCCAAAAAATATTGTTTACGGGCACTTTATCTCCGTAGAAAAACTTAAATTTTCCTTCAATAAAGTACCGGTACATGTCAGTCAGGAGAAATTTATTGTTTAATAAGTTTAAATAGTTTTCCTTGTTTTTAAGTAATACGTCCGTAAGCATAAAAATTTGAAGAGGAATTCCCAATATATCTATATGTTTTGTAAATGCAAACGTGGATTTAATTTTGTGGATAACTGATTTCATATCTACAGGCTCAATAAAATTGTTAAGACGTTTTTTAATATAATCTTCTTGCTCGACTTCGTTGAGCTGATTAATACTCACTGACAGAATATTAAATTTTTCTTCAAGAGAAGATCTCAAATGTTGCCTTGCAGTAACCCATTGAATGCAACCTTTTTGTGACAACATAAGAATGAGATCTAAAGTCCCATTTAAATAGTGAGTAAAAATCTCATCAAGAGCGTCCCATACATAAACCACGTTGCGTTGCTTTAAACACATTTTAAAAAATTCTCGATCGAGCCCAGCGAGGTGTCGATATTTTTCGTTTAAAATGAATGCTTCGGATAGTTCTAAGTCTGCTGATATTTCAGACTTTGCTGAATTTTTCAAGAAAGACATAACATCTTGAGCACTCAGAATCACGGTCCAATATCTCGCACAACAGTTGTTTTTTAGACTCTTCATTAACTCGCTTTTGCCCATTCCTGGGTCATCTGTTATTAGATTTATGTTGTTGGTGAATTGGGAAGACCAAATTTCCTTTTCGTTTTTGGAACGATTAGGTAATTTATATTTTCGCAGTTCATTAACAGATCCTTTGCTTCCAATCCATTCTAAATTTTGATCGTTGAGAAATTTAAAATAGTGTACAATGTGGGATGGTGCTGCTTTAGAACATATTTTCTGAAAATCAGAATCACTGCAATTTTTTTCACTCCTTATAAAAATTGGATTGTCAAAAATTTTGGGGTCTGTATTACTTAAAAAACCCTCGATGTCTATTAAAGTATGCTTTTTAGATATTTTCAATTGTTGAGAATTACTTTCGCAATTTAAAATGATAACAGTTTTTAGATCAACATGTTCTAAATATTCAGTGTTTATAATATTGACTGACAAATACCTATCGATATAAAGATTGGGAAAATCTTCCTTTTTTCCATCTATATAGCATGGACCATTTGCCATCTCTAAAAGTTTTTCCACAGTAACATGCTTAAAAATTTCTTCATTTTTTTCGAAAGCGGTCACTAATTTAATTGCTTCTTTCCCTTGTAAAGAAATGGTGAAATTTTGCAATACTTTTTCATACAATTCGCCTTTTGATTTCAAGTTGGATAAGTTTTGAAAGACAAATCCTTCTTTCATCCATTCTTCATATTTTCCTTCGCCAAGTATAATAAATTTTGCATCTGGACAAAGTTTAATAGCTTTCTCCATATTTTCGTGTTCTTTCACAATGAGTGGCCATTTCTCCATCAACCATAGCAACTGTGTCAATAAATTTGCATCCAGATTTTCGATACTACTTATGTAATTAGAAGAAAGAGAATAAAGTGATCGAACTTTGTTTAGTTCCTTCAGGTCAAGGTTTTTGTTCAAGTCGCCCCACAATTTTTTAACTCCGTTGCTGCCTTTTTTTTCCAACAAAGTGATGTCGAACAAACAAATAGCTTCTCGAAGTAGTTTCATTTCGTCTGTGATTGAACCAAAAACAAACGGTTCGATCCAAGAAGAAAGCAAACGAAGCGCGATGGCACGTTGCATCATTTTTTTGCTTAGCTTTTCTTTTTTTCCATCTCGCATACTCCATTCTGATATGACGTAGACGTACTTCATGAAAGTTTCTTCATTAGAGCAAAACATGTCAGTAAATTTATTCATTGTTGATTTTGTAAGAGCTTCAAAATGTTCTTGGCTTGTGTAAAGACGAAAGCGCTCGAAGAATGTTTGGTACTGCTGAATTTTTTCAGGATTTTGTTTAGTCTGTTCGTCCTCTACTATGTGAAATGTATGATAATAATTTATATTTTCAGAAATTCTTAAAACGTAGAAATCGTCTCCTGAAACTGTGTTTTTACTGATCTTCACGTAAAACTCTTCTCCTTCTAGTTTAAATTTCGTTTCTTCTGAAGTTTTAAATGTATTTGTGGTGAATAATATAAATTCTTGCACTTCGCCTTGAACCTCTTGAGCAGATTTGAAATATTTGATTAAACTAAAGTCTCCTGTTTTGCCTGCCAGTTGCTTTATATATAATTGTTTTTTTTTCATTACTATGTTTTAATTGCAGGGCTTTTGTTTTTATTCCGCTATCTGTCTCAATTTCAATAACCACGTCATCAAAATCACCAAAATTTTTATCGTTCGAAGAAATGTAGAAATCTCTTATTTTACTGTCGCTTACCAATTGTAGTGCGACTTTAGCGGTAACCAAATCTTCGTATTTTTTTCCCTTGTCGGTGGTTCCTGCTCGTTTTTCAAAAATCTGGAATAGAAATCAAGAAATCAACAATGTGAATAAATCGAAAATAGTTGTAGATCATTTAAAAATTAGACTTTGAAATAATTCTCAGTTTTTTTTATGCTTTTGCAGATATACATGCAGACAGGTCTTGTTTGAGTTATTTTTTCTGGTACAAAATAACGACCAAAACGTAGGTATATTTCATCATAAATAAATTTACCTTATGCGACGAAGTTTTATTTCTTTCGCCATCTGTTGCTTGTCCAGCCGGGTTCCCTGGAACTATATTTTCTTGGGTATTTCCCTTAATTTGATGACTGTCTTCAGATAGAGCAGCTTGCTTGTTTGGAGTGTCTTCTATTCCTATTAGATCTGTCCGCTAAAAATTATTTAATTAACAAAATTATCATCGTGTTTTCGCAGAAACATTGTTAAAATTATTAACATTATTCAACAAATACTGGCTAAAGTTTCAAAACTTTCAAACCATTTTTCTTAGAGATGAAATAATGAACCGTGAATAAGAAACATGAAATTTTCGAGACGATGACATCATCTGGTAAAAAAATTGATCTGAACACATGGTGCACAAAAAAATGGAAAACTTTACATTTTTCTTAATACGTTTTATATGTTCTCTTGTAAAATTGTATGGTTTTAATTAATTTTTATACTATAATACAATACAATACAGTTCTATACTATTTTCCCTACGTTGAATATTGAAGTTCAGGTACTTGTCTTTGTAAAAATGTAACAAGTAAATTGAAAGTAGAAATTAATAACCAAATGAATTTGAGGACAGTTTTGACCCATTCAAATTTATAATACCTTTAACGCAGAAGAAGTATTCTCCTCGGGTTGTGGTGTGTGTAGCAACTTTTCTTGTTTTCTTCGTCTTCTTTGTTCTAGCTTACGTTCTAATTCCTCTCTTAATCTTCCGATTTCTTCGTCGGAACTTGAGTCCATGGCGACAAATTTGAACGTGTATACTGAGAAATATATCAATCAGTCAAGTAAACTAGCGACGGTCAGAAAAGATAGATACTAATATGTGTCATTTTTCGACAATCAAGCTAAAAATGAATTATACTACGTAAAAAACTAAATAAAAATTACTCATGCATTACAATGGGAATTGTGATCATAGAATCTGTACAGTAAATAAAAAAAATAAATACATTTTTTGATCGTTTAACAATTAAAATCAGAATGCCGACGACAGTTTTGCTTCGAGTCGGGAAGACTGAAGTGGTTTATGTCTTTATTGAAAATTGACTCGATTTCAAAATTAAGCTCCTAAAATTCTAAACCACTTTCATATGACTTTTTTAATGTTTTTGAAAATAGAATAATTTCTATAATTTAGAATCTGTCTCCAAAATTTGTAAAAGTAAATTTGACTTAAATGTGGAAATCACGTAGGGGTTTAATAATGTGCTCATATTTTTAACGATACATATGCGGATTATT